AAAGAAATTGGCTGCCTTTATTCTGGTGTTACTTGCGATATTTTTTATTCCTAATGCACAAACGTATCGATTTCAGATAGCAGACGACAGGGAGTAAAAGTCATTCACTTGTTCGACTTGTATGAAAATGGCGGCCGCTTTCTCCCTTGGGCAAGAAAAATGCATGTGAACAGCTAATTTTCTTGCCCTTGGGAGAACACGGCCGCCATTTTCATACGGTCGAAGAAATGAATGACTTTCCTCCTTGTCGGCTGCTATCAGAAAGCGCCGTTTTTGTGCATGTGGGATAAAAAATGTTTTTTTCTTCTTCGGAAATATTAGAAAAAGATTACAAATTTTTTTTAAGAATTTTAAAAAACATAAAACATGAAAACCAAAAATTAAATTTAACATACTGAGCAGTTTCACGATATAAATATAATAATATTTCTTTATTTTTATATTATTATAATTTATGCAATTGACCTTAATTTTGTTACTCGGGAGTTCTAATAACAGTCAGGTAGGTGTAAATGTCCTGGCAGCGCTCACTGACAATTGACTTCTGTTTTAGCACTTGCACCGACTCACAACCAGCGAGCGTGCATAGAATTTTTTTTTAATTTCTCTTCCCCATATTATATTAGCCGCTTTGAATTTTTGAAAACAAACATCGTATTCGTAATCAGCGACCTTAAAAACAACCGAGTGACAAAATTAAGATCAATTGCATAAAGTAAAAATTTTGTTCCATATTGGATCCGCCATTTTGACTTATTGGAAACTAAAATCGAATTCGTAATCAACGTAATCAAAATTTAAAAATTCAAAATGGCGATCGACATATTTCGAAGTTTACTGATTTTAAATTTTTTCGTTGGCTATTTTGGAGCTGCTATTTTGAATTTTTTAATTTTGACTAAAGATTTGGATTTAGAAACCTCTAAATCCCCCGAATCAGCATTTTAAGCAAACCCAAAACTTAACAATATTCATTGACATTCATATTTCATTTATTACCGAGATTTTCCTTTTAGATGCCACTATAGCGGTCATACACATTGGTGGCACGAATTATTTTAGCCTCTATAGACTTCATACACTAGGAAGGGGTTAAAGCGTAAAAAAATTATCAAACTTAAAAAAATGAAATTTTTTTGTGTTTTTGAAATTATAACCGCTATATTTAATTTTTGGGTTGAACAAAATTCTTTTTTTTACAGTGGAATCGAAAAGAGCACACTTAATAAAATAAAATTTGATAACAATTTTCTTTTTTCAGGCGTTAATGAGTTAATCTATGAGTTTAAAACTATAAAAAATCATTCAAAAATTGTTTTGGAATCATTTTTTAAGACATAATTCAATTTTTGAAATATGTCTATAATAAAAATGACATTAAAATATTTTTAAAAAGGAATTAGTTTAGTTGTTTTATATTATTTAAGATTCAATTATCTTCAAAAACAATTAAAATTTGTAAAAATCTTTTAAAAATAATAGAATTAGTAAAAAATATTAATAAAAATCTGGGACCGTCACGGAAATCAAATTTTGATTTTGTTACGATATTCCAAAACAAAACGAAATTATTATTAATGTATTTTGATATTGATTCGGTAACGAAACTCAATTTACTTCCTATTTTGATTCAGATACTGTAACGAAACAAAATTTACTTCCTATTTTGATTCCGATACTGTAACGAAACAAAAGAGGGACCGCAAAAAATGCCTGTTTTTTGCCCGTTTTTTGTACATCGACAATTATCACAAAACGTAAGTAAAAAATTCGGCCAAAAATCTTCTTAATCTGCGTGAAAATTGTAGTTGATCATAAGTTTTGGTTTTTATTAAAGGGTAGCCAAACTCCTAATTCAACCCTCTAAAAATTGACAAATTATGAAATTCATAACACCATAAATTCAACACAAAAAATTAATTATCAACGGTAAAACTGATAAATAACGAAAATAAAAAATCCCTTTCATAAAAAAACAATCTCAATTACCTTAACATCCTCAAAATGCTTTTCAACCCCCAAAAAACTACCCCTATTTGAAAAATTGACCAAAATAAACACAAAAAAAATATTACTCTCCAAAATCTTCATAAAAAATATAAATAAAATCAATTAACTAGTAAGACTTAATTTACGTACTAATGTACATTAATCCACCCCACAAAAACTACCCCTAATTGAAAAAATTACCACATTACACATTACTCCGCAAAATCCTCACGAAAATTATGAATAAAATCAACTAACTAGCCAGACTTTAATTCCTTGCTAGAGTAAGTTAATCAATCAACCCCAAAAAACTACCCCTTATTGAAAATTTTACCATATTACACATTTAAAAACTTTTTACTCCGCAAAATCCTCACGAAAATTATGAATAAAATCAACTATCTAGCCAGACTTTAATTCCAGGCTAGAGTTAATTAATCAACCCCCAAAAACTACCCCTAATTGAAAATATTACCATATTACATATTTAAAAAAATTTTACTCCTCAAAATCTTGACGAAAATTATAAATAAAATCAACTGACCAGCCAGACTTTAATTCCATGCTAGAGTTAATTAATCAACCCCCTAAAACTACCCCCAATTGAAATTTAACCATATTACACATTTAAAAAATTATTACTCCGCAAAATCTTTACGAAAATTATAAATAAAATCATCTAACTTGCCAGACTTTAATTCCATGCTAGAGTAGATTAATCAACCCCTCAAAAAATACCCCTAATGAAAAAATTTACCATATTACACATTTAAAAAATTATTACTACACAAAATCTTAACAAAAATTATAAATAAAATCAACTAACTAGCCAGATTTTAATTCCATGCTACAGTTAATCAATCAACCCCCAAAAACTACCCCTAATAGAAAATTTTACCATATTACACATTTAAAAAATTATTACTCCGCAAAATCTTCACGAAAATTATAAATAAAATCAACTGACCAGCCAGACTTTAAATCCATGGTAGAATTAATCAATGTTTTCTCCAAAATGTTGACAATAATTCTAAAATTTTAGTTTAAAGATGTTTAGACTTTTTTTGATTGTTCTAATATAGTAAAAGAGGTTTATTTGTTTTTTAAAAATTCAATCCACATTTATTCAAACAATTCTTTTTTGTCATATGTGACGCACCACGAGAGAAGGGACCTTACCAGTTTCAGCGATGCCAGGCACACACATTTATACGTCTGATTTCTGCTCTCGTCAGTGAGCTTCTTTTTCGTTTTCGTCGTTTTCCTCGGCTTGCTCGAAAAATAAGGCGCGAAATTTGAAAATAATACTTCTCAGAGAAGTATTATTTTAAAGATTATTATAAGAAAATCAATATTTAAGTAACACATAATTAATTATTAAATAATTTATATACTAGTAAATTTTTGTTATCAGTTTATTAATTTTTGTATTCCCTACTTATTTTGTAATAACTAAATCCATTATTGATTAATTATAATGTTTTAATTTAAAAGTTATTATTTTTAAGGGGGGAGGGGGGGGTCAAGTTAAATCTTACAAACAGCAGAAAAAATGTCGCTAATGTATAGAAAATGTCTTACGATGAGGGGAGGGAGGGAGGGTCAAAATTTCTGAAAATATGCCTTACGTAGTTGGGTACGGCCGCTAATTGAGAAAAGAATTTTATTAAAATGACTCAAAATTATTGAATTTTCGGGAATAACTTTGTTATTTATCGACATAATTGAATTCTTTCGAAAAATTATTTATGTAAATAATTGAATTCTTATCAAAAATTTTATTAAAATCTAAAAGAATAATAAATTATTTTTAAAAAATGTAATTAAAATTGTATTTAAAATAATTGATTTCTTTCGAACAATTTTATCAAAATATTTTAAAATTACTGAATTCCAGTGGAAAATTCTAATTTTTTTGTAAATAATAGAATTCATCCAAAGAATTTTAAAAAACTTTTTTTTTAATATTTGATTTTTGCAACGAATTGAATTTTTGGAAAGGAGTTTTTTAGCAGTTCTTATAAAATTGTGTTTCAAGTAATTGAATTCCTGTGATGAATTTAATTATTTATGAAAACAATTGAATAGTTGTTAAGAATTTTATTAAAATTCTCAATAATAATTGAATTCCTGAGAAAAATTGTATTATTTATGAAAATAATTGAATTAATACAAAAAATTTTATTAAACTGTTTGAAAAGAATTGAATTGCTCTGAAAAATTTTGTTATTTTTTAATATAATTGAATTCTTCATAAGAATTCTATAAATATTCTTTTAAATAATTCAGTATTTCGAAATATAATAAATATTATGGAAATTTTTTTTCAAATAATTAAATTCTTGTAAAAAACTTTATTTGCGAAAATAATAATTAAATTTTTTGATTAATTAATTTAAAATAGTACTAAAAATTGAAATTCTTCGTTGAAAATAATTGAATTTTAATTTCAATATAATACTCCATGTATAAAACTTTTTGGAAGATGTTTGAATAATTTGGTATATTTACTAAGCTAGTGGACACACTCTTTAACACATATCTTTAACTAATGTTTAAAACATTTTCTTGTTGTCTATCTTCAACTAATGTTTAAAACATTAGTAATCAACTAATGTTTAAAATATTTTTATAAGTATTATCTATATTCAACTAATGTTTAAAATATTTTCGATTTTAATTTTAAACGACGTAGAAAAATTTTTACACTTAAATATTCTCAGATTTGTACTTCTTGAACGAAACCTAATTGTAACAATGGATTTACAAGTAGAATTAAGTAGATAACAATCATCTATACTCTAAATCACAAATTGCATACCTTTAATTAATACTTATAACATTGTCAATTACAACTTTAATCAAAGAAGTAACAACGTAACCTCCAGAATATCATCACTCTTAACGATTTAAACATTTAAAGTAGTATAAACAGTTTTTTATATAAAAATATAGCTTTTATAACAAATCTTAAAACAAGTAATATAACTAATAATTATCAAAACTTAATCATTAATATTGACTAAATATAGATCTTTTCTAGTTTACTTTTTTTTAGTTCAGTAATAAAATCAGACAACAACTCATTTCTCTTCCTCCTAAGCTCGTTCGCGAATTTTCTTTCTTCTAGTAGTTGCTTTTGTGAATTTAATAATATTCGATTTGAATAGTTTGTCTTTGGGCATTCCTTTCATCTGCGCTATCCTTTATTTGCTTTAAAATTATTTGACAGTCGGTCAATGATTCCGATGTGGAAGGTCGTTTTCTTCTTTTCGGGGTCTCACTTACGGACTCGCTCACCGTAGACTCTTTAAGACTACTAGTTTCAGAGGCTTTTAAACTAGAGTTGCACTTCACTTCCTCCACCTCCGTTTCCTTTTCAACTTCCATAGTTGCCAGTGTCCTCAAAACATTATTGTCAAAAATGGCGAGGGGTCTGATGTTGTGCTTTTGACCCATCATTTCGTCCAGTTCTCGTTTAAAAGAGCATGTTTGTCTGGCTCGACCAGTCTTTGTAAGCCCTGGTCATTGTTTTAAATTTATTTTCAGCTTGTAGAGCCGTAACTGGTACTTCACTATCTGTTAACTCTTGGGCAATGCGTTTCCACATTGCCGCAAATGTTTTCAAAAAAGAAATGTTACCAATTTTCGACCGGTATGAGCCATACAAACTGAGAAGCATTTTTATTGCATTCTCAGATCAAATGAATTATTTTGGTTTTTCTTTAAAATTATTTACACACTTTTCTAATGGGTATAAATCCTGAGCATAATGGGCAACATTAATTTTATACCACTTATTTTCAAATTCGCATTGGATTTCCTTTGCTCCTGGTGCTATTTCATCCAAGCTGATGAGAAATCTCAAATCTCCATCTTCACACAAACATGTGCCCTGGTTTTCTTCATTAATGACAACCTTCCTATCATCGTCTATTTCCAAAGTAGCAATAAACGTCTCCATTTTTCCTTTTGTATTAATTTCAAACAATTCAACTGTCGTTTTCAAAGTTACACTTCAACACTGGACTTGCACTAACTTTCAAAATAATTATTACAAAAAAATTTTTTTAAAATCAGGGACCGTCACGGAAATCAAATTTTGATTTCGTTACGATATTTCAAAACAAAACGAAATTATTAATGTATTTTGATTTTGATTCGGTAACGAAACAAAATTTATACTTCCTATTTTGATTCTGATACTGTAACGAAACGAAATTTACTTCCTATTTTGATTCTGATACTGTAACGAAACAAAATTTACTTCCTATTTTGATTCCGATACTGTAACAAAACAAAATTCACTTCCTTTTTTGATTCTGATACTGTAACGAAACAAAATTTACTTTCTATTTTGATTCTGATACTGTAATACTGCAATTCGGTTTTCTTATTGAAACAGAAGTCGATTCGAATTCTACTTTAGATTTCGTATGTAAAAACGATATTATCTTCTGATATATTTGACATTTGCAACAAAATTTAGGTTTAATGAGACTTATACATGCGCAGTAGTATTTTATCAAAATTAAAACAAAAAAGGATTTTGATATTGGAATCAAAACTAAATAGAATGGAATTTTGATTTTGATATTGTAACCAAAACGAAATAGAGTAGAATTTTGATTTTGATATTGGAATCAAAACTAAATAGAGTGGAATTTTGATTTTATTTATACTGGAATCAGAACACAAACAACATTTATTTTTGATTCGGTTATCTGAATCAAAAATGAATAGAGACTAATTTTGATTCTGATACCCATATCCGAATCAAAACAAAAGTATTTTTTAATTTTGTTTTGATTCCGTGACGGTTCCTGATTAAAATGTTTAAAAAGAATTGAATTTCTGTGAAAAATTTTGTTAATTTTGAAAATTATTGAATTTTATCTTAGAATTTTATCAAAATTTTTTTTAGAAAATTGAATTACGTTTGAAAATTTTATAAAAATAGTAGACATTGAAAATCATTGAATTTCGAACAGTTTTTAAAAATAGTTAAATTTTACAAAAAATTCTATTAACATTTTTAAGAATAATTGCATGTCTGTGTGGCATTTTATTAAAGCTTTTTAAAAAGAATTGAATTTCTAAAAAGCATTTTAATATTTATGAAAATAAGTGAATTATTTCAAAAAAATTTAATTAAAATTTTATTTAAAATATTTGATTTCTTTCGAACAATTTTATTAAAATATTTGAAAATAATTGAATTCCTGTGAAAAATTTTAATATTTTTGTAAATAATTTAATTGTTACAAAAAAACTTTATTAAAATAATTTAGAAAATTAAATTTCTGTGAAATATTTTGTTATTTTTCAAAATACTTTAATTCTTCATATGAATTATATAAACATTGTTTTAAATAATTAATTTTTTCGAAATATAATAAATATAATATGAAAATTTTATTTTAAATATCCAAATTTAATCCTTGTGGATTTTGGATAAATTTTATTAATTTTGTTTTTAATTAAATTCTTTTGCGAAATTTTGTGATAATACGAGATATTGAAAATAATTGAACATCGAATATTTTTTGAAAATCATTGAATCGTTTTAACCCTTTCAAGATTTAACTCCAAGATTTAACCCCAAGATGGCTGACGATTTTTTTAAAATTGTTTAGTTTTACCTGAAACTCGTCACTCGGGGGTTTTAGGGATCGCTGATGACAAATATGATATTAGTTTTCAGAAATTCGAAATGGCGGATGACTTTCTACAAAATTGATCCAATTGACCTAAAAAGTTGGTTCTCGGGTGAACCCAGGTCACTGATTACAAATTCGGTGATAGTTTTTTAAAATTCAAAATGGCGTTTGCAATATGGTTAATAAGATTTTTCAAAATTTATTTAGATTTGCTTGATACTTACTTTCAAGAGTTAATGCTTTTTAGAAATCTAAGATCAATTGGATAATTGTAAAAACTGAGTTGCTGACTAATTAGAAATTTTTGTTGTGAAATTAGCAGGAGTTTTATAATAAACATATTCCAGTTTATTATTTTTAAAAATTTCTCCGCTAATTATTAATCCACAATTTAAATTTGAAAATAGACTAAAGATTGGTAATCAGGGACTACAATAACCTCCGAGTAACAAATCTGTCATATTGGATTCGCAATTTCGAATTTTTAAAAACTAACAACAGATTTGTCATCGGCGATCCCAAAAAACCCCAAGTGTCAAGTTTCAGGTAAAACTAAACAATTTTTAAAAAATCGTTCGCCATATTGGATCCGACATTTTGAATTTTTAAAAACTTATGTCATATTTGTAATCAGCGACCCCGAAAACCCCGAGTGATAAGTTTCATGTAAAACTAAACCATTTTAAGAAAATCGTCTGCTATATTGGATCCACCATTTTGAATTTTTAAAAACTGGTGGCATATTCGTAATCAGCAACCCCAAAAACCCCCGAGTAACAATTTTCAGTCGATTTTAAAATGTTTAAAAAATTCGTGATTTTTAACAATAATTTATGAATTTTTTTAAGCAATAGGAATTTTTTAACATGATCTAGGTAACATGTTTTTAAAGCCCTATTATTCCTGAAGAGAACGCACTAAATTTGACTCAAAAATATTAATTTTCGTCAAAGATATTGAGGTTTTTGCAGGTGGGACGTATATGTCCCATGGGCGTGAAAGGGTTAAAAAAGTTGATTATAATTTTTGAGAATAGTTTTTTGATTTCTAGTATTAGCGAATTTAAAGTAGTGGAAATTCTAAAATAAAACAGAAATAGTAGCTTTTAGTAGCTGAAATCTAAAAAAAGTACTCAAATAGTAGCATAACGTAAAAACAATAGTAAACAGTATAGCTTTTAGTAGATGAGTGTACCAGGCATGCCTGGTACAATTTTTTTAGGGTTTCTTAATTTCTTTGCGTAGAATCGCAATTCCATTCTATAATAAAAAGCAAGTATTTAATTATTATTTTTGTAATGAAGATAATATATTTTTTCTTAATTTCAAGTTAAAAGATTATTAGTAAATCCAAAAAGTACATAAAAATAATAACTCTTAAATTAAAACATTATAATTAATCAATATTGGATTTAGTTATTACAGAATAATTACGGAATACAAAAATTGATAAACTGATAAAAAATAAATTCACTAATATATAAATTATTTAATAATTAATTATGTATTAAATAAATATTGATTTTCTTATAATAATCTTTGAAACAATACTTAGAAGTATTATTTTCAAATTTCGCGCCTCATTTTTCGAGCAAGCCCAGGAAAACGACGAAAACGAAAAAGAGGCTCACCGACGAGAGCAGAAATCAGACGTATGAATGTGTGTGTGCTCATATGGAACCGCGAGAGTGGGAATTGTTTCCTACGCCGCCTGGCATCGCTGAAACTGGTAAGGTCCCTTCTCTCGTGGAGCGTCACATTATGTGAAGCTTTTCGTCCATCGACGATGGACCTCTTCAGACAATATATGGAAACTGCAAATTATTTTTATTTTTTAAACATAAGTTAACGGTTCATAAAAGTAGAAAAACAATATTGTTATTATATTCCATTATAGTAACATTATGTACATAACCTCAACTTACCAATGTGTATATCTTTCCTCACACATAACGTTTTAATAAAATTTAACAAAACAATCTTCATATAAAAAATCCGTTTTTTGCAACCAAAACGTTGAGATTTTTGAAAGGGTCATATTGGCGGGTATTTTGTCCCTTTAAGGATCTGAACAGGGATCAACACGTGCCTTGATATGACAGATAATGAATAAATGTGGATTGAATTTTTAGAAAACAAATAAACATCTTTTACTATAATTCTAAAATATTATTTTCGTATGTATTTGGATTTTTGGAAACATGTAATTATAAATACTGAAAATATTGCATTTTAAAAAAATTAGATGCCAATTTTTAGGGGAGAGTGGTCCTAAGTTGGCCGTCTAAGCAAATTGGTCGAAAATAGTAACAAAATGAAATTTAATCACTTCGGCAAGTATATATTAGTGTTCAAAGATCTTTTTGCTATAATTTTGTGGTATTTAGAACGTTATAGAATAGCTTTTGTAGGCTTAATACAATAAATAGTGAAAAGCTACATTTTGGACATTTCAGAAATAGCGGGGTCATTTCGCAGAAGAGTTAAGGGTCATGTCTCAGATTTTTTTTATATTTTGCTTATTAATAGTATTTTGGGTCCTAAACAACTATTCTAAATTTTAATTAAATATTTTTATTATTTTTCAAGATATTTGCATTGCAAATTTCTTGACATGTTTTTTTCATTTTATTATAACTCACTTATTTTTAAAAATTTATTAAATTTGTTAACAACCTTTTTTACGTAAAAACCATTGAAGTTTAATAAAAAAATTGAAAATTAAAAAATACCTATCAATTTTTTAAATTATTTATTTATAAAATTATATTTATTTTTAATGTTTAAGCATGAGCCCTATCAGATTTTGTTTAAAAAAAATCTTATTTCAAAGTTTAAGATCTCATTAAAAAACCGTGAAATTTTTAGAATGGCATCTGTCTTTGTTTTTTAGTAATAAATTGTCAAAGTTTTAATTGCACTATCGCGCGCCGGCTCACAGTTGGATTTTTTTACAATTTACTGTTCAAAAATGACTACAGCCTACAATTTTTAACCGATTTGAGTGTTTTTTGTTTTAAATTAAAGGGAACATCCTGGGAGGCCGATTTTTTAAATATTAATTGTTTATAATTTTTTATTTTAAAAAAATTAATACAATTTTTTTAAAAAGGACGTTTATTTTCTTATTCCGTTACTGCACATGATCTAAATAAGTTCAAAATAATCCAATATATCCACCAGACAATTAATAAAACAAAATAATTTATTTAAATTGTTATGAACAATATTAATTAACAAAAAGTTAACTTTGATTCCTGTTCACTAAAAAATGTTTTTTTTAACATTTACTTTTATATTTAGGATCATTTAATGAATATATGTCCTCCTCGTTCAAAACATAACTTATTTAAATTGTTATAAACAATATAATTAAACAAAAAGATAACTTTGATTCCTCTTCACTAAAAAAGGTTTTTTTCCACATTTTCTTTTTGATTTAATTTTATTTCAAGAATACATGTCCTGCTTGTTTAAAAAATAACTTATTTAAACAAGGAGAGGACATATATTCTTTAAATGAACCTAAATATAAAAGTAAATGTGAAAAAAAACATTTTTTATTGAAGAGGAATCAAAGTTAACTATTTGTTAATTAATATTGTTCATAACAATTTAAATAAATGATTTTGTTTTATTAATTGTCTGGTGGATATATTGGATTATTTTGAACTTATTTAGATCATGTGCAGTAACGGAATAAGAAAATAAACGTCCTTTTTAAAAAAATTGTATTAATTTTTTTAAAATAAAAAATTATAAACAATTAATATTTAAAAAATCGGCCTCCCAGGATGTCCCCTTTAATTTAAAACAAAAAACACTCAAATCGGTTAAAAATTGTAGGCTGTAGTCATTTTTGAACAGTAAATTGTAAAAAAATCCAACTGTGAGCCGGCGCGCGATAGTGCAATTAAAACTTTGACAATTTATTACTAAAAAACAAAGACAGATGCCATTCTAAAAATTTTACTGTTTTTTAATGAGATCTTAAACTTTGAAATAAGATTTTTTTTAAACAAAATCTGATAGGGCTCATGCTTAAACATTTAAAATAAATATAATTTTATAAATAAATAATTTAAAAAATTGATATTTTTTAATTTTCAATTTTTTTATTAAACTTCAATGGTTTTTACGTAAAAAAGGTTCTTAACAAATTTAATAAATTTTTAAAATAAGTGAGTTATAATAAAATGAAAAAAACATGTCAAGAAATTTGCAATGCAAATATCTTGAAAAATAATAAAAATATTTAATTAAAATTTGGTATAGTTGTTAAGGACCCAAAATACTATTAATAAGCAAAATATAAAAAAAATCTGAGACATGAACCTTAACTCTCCTGCGAAATGACCCAGCGGTCCTAAGTTGGCCACCACTTTTTTCGCTTGTGTATAAGGAAGAAATGCATATTCTTTTCAATTACGCAGAAATTTTACAAATTTGATACACTTAGGAGAATAAATACGCATTATTGAACTATTTTTGCTTAGCAAATGAAGCAATATTTTACTTCATTTATTTAGTGGTGGATGGCTGTAGAGACAGGCGTTTTTGTACTAAGTTTTTTCTAATTTTTTTTCTAATGTTTTTTAAACCATTTTTTTTTTGTTTTTTGTCTTTGTTTAATTCCTACGTTACACTTTTACGGTCTTTCTCGTGATAAAAAACAAAAAAAGAAATAAAACATAAATAAAAACAAACAAAAACAATAGGTGGCCAACTTAGGACCACTGTAGATTTTTACCAGTTTCAAATTATTACGCTAATAAAAAAAATTAATTAAAAAATCAACAGAACCTCTTATTATAACATTAAATAAAGGAACTAGCGCACACACTTATTTAAAAATTTTTAATTATTTATCTTTTGTAGCTGTTCTCGAAAAAACAAGAAAAATTAAATTTTTTTGGTCGTAAACAATATTATTGTCCTCACAATGCGTAGAAGAGGGTTTGCCAAATGTTCACGATTGTCCACAACCGGAGGCGGGGGGGTCAAAAATTGGTAAAAAATTGTCCATTTAGTACCTATGTATATGAAATACCGATAAAATGTATACCCCTCACTCTTACCTCGTTCTCGATCTCCCTCTCTTTTACTCTTTAATCTTTCTGTGAGTGAGAAAAGAAAAATAATTAGCCAATAAGAAAATAAGACGCCCTTTTCGTATTTTGACTTGAAAATGAAATTCCACACTTTTCCTTATCCTACCAATTTCTGTTCCTCTTTTTCTACCTAAAACGGAAAATAGAGAAAACATTATGTTCTTCTGTAAACCAAAGAAATAGGCGTTACTATCTTACCTATTCGTCTCTCTTTCCTTCTTACGCTAAACTAAAAGGAGAGACAATACCTCCCTCTCTTTCTCTTTATCATGCTTTCTCTCTCATACTCTGACAGGCAGAATGAGTATGAAGATTAATATAGTTAATTTATTATTATTATTATTATTATTATTATTATTAATTAGTTGATTAATTAATAATTCTGCATTACAAAATAAAAATGTCTATAACACTAAATCAAATGGGTCAAATTTTCTCAAAAAAATCAAAGTTGGTCATGGGTCTTTCAATTTTTGTGAAACTTGGTATAAATATAGTAATTTATAACAGAAGATTTTAAGAAAAAAAGATTTTTAAAAATTTTCAAAATTGTGGATTTTACCGGGCATTAAACATTAAAGCACATTTTTTTGAAAAACGAATAACTTTTATCCAGTTAGTTAGATTTTGTTTACATTTTAGGTAATAAAAGTTGATTATCTAACAATTTAAAGTGCAATATTAAAGAAAAAAAAATTCAAAATTTGCCTGGAAAAAAAGTCAAAAAAAATTTTGATTTCATTTTTTCGGGCATAAGCACCCCTTTGATTTTTTTGTAACTGTAATATTTGGATTCGTTATCTTCTCCAGAATTTTTTGCATAAAAAAATCCCTGGAGACTTTAAAACTCACCGAAATATCGAATTCTTTGTCTCGAGGTGCACAGATATCGATCTCGGGTAAACACGCCTGAGATGTGCACCAAACGTTCTTAAGCGTAAATTTCGCATTCTAATATTTTTTTGTTAATTTTTAGTAAAAAAGGAAGGTTTAAAAATGAAGTTTTGCAATTATAAATTTGTTTTTAAACAATTATAGAATTTCAAATTGTGTACGCAATATATAAGGGGCAAATTTTCTCAACGGTACCAATGTCAAAATTGCAAGTTGTTAGATCGAGTAATATTTTCACAGTATTTGGAACTATGAATGAGTACTGAAAACTACCAAGTAATTATAAAAGTTTTATAAGAGGTTTTCGGGGTCGCTGATTACGAATCTGATATCAGATTTTGAAAATTCAAAATGGCGGATCCAATATGTCGGACAACATTTTCTAAAATTCATCGGATTCAGTTGAAACTTTTTACTTGGGGGTTTTCAGAGTCGCTGATTACGAAACTGATTTCAGATTTAAAAAATTCAAAATGGCGGATCCAATATAGCGGACGAAGATTTATAAAATCCATCGGATTCACTTAGAACTTTTTACTCGGGGGTTTTCGGGGTCGCTGATTACGAATCCGATTTCAGATTTGAAAATTTAAAATAGCGGATCCAATATGGCGAATAAAATTTTCTAAAATTCATCGGATTCATATGAAACTCATTATTAGAGGGTTTTCGCTGATTACGAAAAACTTTTGAAACAATAATAAATACTAAATTTTCCCCCGCAGTCAGCTGTTAAGTATACACGGAGAAAAAATGTAGGTTATACCAACCGGAGACCCCGGTTAAAACTACTTGACCGACACAGGCGTTAACATAACCTCTGATACCCAAGTCAGCACAATTTGACTGCCAGGAAGTTTTGGCTTGGTTGCCTCTAGTAGTGTCAATGGCTGGATCGATATCAGTAGTAAATTGACTGAGGAAAACTAAAGACGCAACTGGAGAGCCAAGTAAAAACGGCCTGGCTCTCCGGTTACAACTACTTAACTTCATAAAATTATCATGACGACTCAAAAAAAACAGTTACAACTTTTATTTCTCTCCGTGTACTACGTTACTTACGACCTTGAAAACCCTCGAGTAAAAAGTTTCAAGCGAATCCGATGAATTTTAAAAATTTCGTCCGCCATATTGGATCCGCCATTTTGAATTTTCAAAATCTGATATCAGATTTGTAATCAGCGAACCCGAAAACCCCCAAGTATCAATTTGTGGACGAATCTGTGTGTTTTTGTAGCCAAAAATCTGCTTGCGTCTATACACGTCATCGACAGTTAGAGCCCACATGCACCATGACGTGTATACACGTCATCGACTGCCAAGGGGTTAAAATTTTTTTTGAAATTTTTTTTTTAACTACACTGAGAGACCTTTGGGACTGTAGCGGAACAACGTATGTGACAGCAGCTCCACTATGGTTTTGGTGCGCTGGGGTAAAATCTTGGGCGCGTGACAGTCCCAAATGTTGGTGAGCAGCTCACCAAAGTAGTGGGAATGCCGCCTTTGGTTTGCAGCTGAACAACTTTAGGACTGTCACGCGCCCAAGATTTTACCGCAGCAACCCAAAAGTATAGTCCTGTAGCGTTCCTCCAAAATGGTCAGTAGCAGCCTATCGAAAGTCTGCTGCTGACCCAAAGGTCTCTCAGTGTAAACTTTCCGGCTTAATATTTTTTGACATTTTCTAAAGTACATTTTTTATTTTTTACATTTTTGATGTAAGAAGAGACGATTTTTTTTGTCTGAATAATTTTTTATTATTTTAATATCAGTATCAAGCGTGATACACGCATAAGTTGTTGAATATTTTATTTCAACAATCGTTGCAAATAACTGGAATATATTTTTTTAAAGTAGAATTATATAAACATTTGATTTAAAAAAAACGAACACTTTATCTTTATTTTTATAAATATGTATTTGTAAAACGTCAATTTAATCAAAATACTTCACATTGTATAATATTTCAATTTTTATTAATTAATTAGGGGAGGGTAGGCTACATTATTGAACAGGATTTTTTCTAAAGTCCAAGAACTAATTAAATTTTACAAATTTTGATTAGGTTTTTATATTAAAATAAAACTGAAGTACTCCTTTAGTTAATACACACGTTACAAACACAAATTATAATGATTAAATAATTAAACTTAATGTTTTTCTAACCAGTTACGTTATGTTGAATAAGAAAAAATGTCACTCATTCATTTCACAGAAAATTGAAGTGGTTCACTGTTGACGCTGGTTCAATGTAGCCTACTCTCCCCTAATTAATAATTCAAAAACAAAAAAAACGTAACTTTTTTCGTTTCACATATGGGTGATTCTCCACAAAGTGGTAACTTTTGAATATGTTAAAAAATTTTTTTTTAATTAAATTTTTTGGAAATTTTTTATTTAGATCTTTTTAATAAAGCTTGAGAATGATTATTTTATAGATATTTGAGCTTAATTCTTTCTTTAGTTTTATATACAAACAATTTAAAAATTTGTAATTTAAAGGTTAAATAATTTATTTGAAAAAGTTAATTTTCGACTGTTAATAATTATAAATAGTGTAAATAAGCAAATAATTACTTTAAACTGCTTTAATTAATCAATAAATAATATTTTTACTCATACCTGTTATTGAAATTACATGTTTTGATACAGGTTAATCGAGGTTAATTGTATTCATTCAAAAAAACAAAACACTTACATTACGCGAAACGAAATTAGGAACTGGAGTTTACAGGAACTGGAGTTTATAAATCAAAGAAAAAAATTCATTAAAACCGTAAAAATTCATAAAAATAAACAATTTTTGCAGATTATTAAAGAGATTTTCTTACTCTAAATCACTATTATTTTTATTTTTTTATACATTTAGAATTCGGTAATTTTGGCGGAACTGGAGTTTACATACCATTAAAATACGCTATAAAATAATAGTAACTTTTGTAGTTTTAAATCTAAAAATTATATTTCTTTTTGCAAATTTAACATAAATACAACTTATTAACTTAATAATATTAATGGCAAATAAAATCGCACTAAAAAAGGGAATAAAATTAATGAAAATCAATGAAATTGTAAACTCCAGTTCCAAATAAAAAAAGTGGAGAAAATATTAAAAAATTATTTTTACACAGATTTGTTAATGGAAATTAGAAAACGACACACAAAAACTTAGTTTTTGAGATGAACTTTCGAATAGAATAAATAAAAAAACGTTTAAAATAAAGTTTGTGCAAAATAAAACATATTAAACTTCATGATTCATGTGTGGAGAAACGACAAATGTGCGTTTTTTGAACATTTGCAATTGAATTACAACTTTTGTTTTAAAATAAAATTTTTTTTTCGATTATGATATTACTAAAAAACATATTGAAGATTAATTATGCAAAAGATTGAAGTAGATTTGATAACAATTTTTCAAGATATAAAATAGGGAACAGTGGGGAAGCAAAAGTGACCACTGATTGAAAAATCACCCATATTGAAAGTATAAATCATAAGCTTTCTTTTGGTACAAGAAAAAAAAGTGGGTTTTTTTTATAAAAAATCAAAAGAATTTTCAATTTTCAAAAAGGGTTAAATTTTGAATTTTTTGAAAAAAAATTGTCACCATTTGAAAGAGCAGAAAAAACCTACCAAAAACATATAGGTCACAATTTTTTTTCTTTATTATATAAAAGCTACGATTTTTTATAAAACTCACTGTTAATACTTATCCAAAATCTTCAACCCCCTCCCCCCACAATTTTTTATAAAATTTCATGATGACTTGGTGGTTTTAAGTACTCATTCATAGTTCTTAATACTGTGAAAATATTAGCCCGATCTAACAACTTGCAATTTTGTCATTTGTACACTTGAGAAAAGCCCCTTATATATTACATACACATTTTGAGATTTAAAATTGTTTAAAAACAAATTTATAATTGCAAAACTTCATTTTTAAACCTTCCTTTTTTACTAAAAATAACCAAAAAAATATTAGAATTCGAAATTCACGCTTAAGAACGTTTGGTGCACATCTCAGGCGTTTTTACGCGAGATCGATATCTGTGCACTTCGAGACAAAAAATTCGATATTTCAGTTACTTTTAAAGTCTCCAGGGATGTTTTTTTGCAAAAAATTCTGGAGAAGATAGCGAATCCAAATATTATAGTTACAAAAAAATCAAAGGGGTGCTTATGCCCGAAAAAATGAAATCAAAATTTTTTTTGACTTTTTTTCCGGGCAAATTTTGAATTTTTTTTTCTTTAATATTGCACTTTAAATTGTTAGATAATCAACTTTTATTACCTAAAATGTAAATAAAATCTAACTAACTAGATAAAAGTTATTCGTTTCTCAAAAAATGTGCGTTAATGTTTAATGCCCGGTAAAATCCACAATTTTAAAAAAAATTTTAAATCTTTTTTTCCTAGAATCTTCTGTTATAAAACACTATATTTATACCAAGTTTCACAAAAATTGAAAGACCCATGACCAACTTTGATTTTTTTGAGAAAATTTGACCCAATATAAAGTCATGCCTTTCGGCCTTAATAATGCCCCCGGAACCTTCCAAAACCTCATGCAGGATGTTTTGTCGGAAATGTGGAATGTCTTTACAATGGCATACCTGAACGACATCATCGTTTACTCTTTATCATGGGAGGAACATATCCAGCATCTATCCCTTGTTTTCGAGCGGTTGGAAATTTATGGTTTGACCGTCTCCCCGAATAAATGTAAATTCAGTAAAACTACGTTGCCCTACTTGGTACATCTCGTCAGGTCGGATGGCAACGCCGCACAAGAAGGGCACGTAAGCTCCATACAAAGTTTCCCAACATCAAAAAATCGAAAACAGCTACGCTCTTTTATTGGGACCTGTAATTGCCTCAAAGAGTATGTACCGAGATATTAGCCCCCTTAACTAATTTGCTCTCACCCAAGAGACCAATTACATTGAGCCGCCTCGACCCAAAACTACGGTTTATCCTATAAACCGATGCCAGCGCAAAGGGCATGGAAGCTGTTCTCATGCAAACGGCTGGAGACGGGACCATGTCAATCATCGCCTTCTCGAGTGCCAAATTCTCCCCAGCTGAAACCAAGTACCATTGCAATGAACAGGAATGTCTAGCAATCATTTGGGCGGTAAGGAAATTCCGACCTTACCTAGAATATCAAACATTCACCCTTCGCACGGACAGCAAGACCCTGACCTGGTTAGAAACCCAAAAGAACGCCCGCTCGAAACTGACACGATGGTACATGCTACTCAGTGAACTACACAGTGCAACAGCATTTTTATTTTTGGGATCGCATAGGGTGATTTTTATAGGTTTTTTGATGCCGAACGCGAATCCGTAATCAGAATTGTTCCATCACCCTAGATTTTTGAGAAATTTGACCTTGAAAATTGAAAAAGGACGTTTTTGGGATGCTTTTTTGTTTTTTATCAGGTTACAAAAATTGTTTTTAAGGTTTTCATGATATGCGTACGAAAGCCCATATCCGCCTTAACAATTTCCAGTTTGGACCTTTTAAAAATATCTATTTTTCAATGAGTTATCTTTGTTTGAATTTCGCGTCGCATCGTAAAATCATCAAAAATGCCGTTTTGAGGTATTTTTTTGTTTTTCATCAGGGTACAAAAATTTTTTCTAGTGTTTGCATGATATGCGTACGAAAGCTATCCTTCTCAACAATCTCCAATCTTGACATTTAAAAATATCTATTTTTCTATGAGCTATTCTTGTTTGAAGTTCGCATCGTAACGTCAAATCGGATAACAGTGGGAAAAATATTAACATAATATTAATATTATTAATATCAACCCATTAAATCTCAAGCAGAAACCAATGATTCATTAAAGAAACTATTACATTCTTAGGAAAATCAAAAATAAATTAACCATTGTTTTTTTGTTTATCATTTCAAATTCTTTAACAATAATTTAATAAAAACAACGATAACTCATCGAAAAATAGATATTTTTAAAATGTTCAAATTGGAGATTGTTGAGGATGATGTGAGCTTTCGTACGCATATCATGAAAACCTTAGAAAAAATTTTTGTACCCTGATAAAAAACCGAAAAGCATCCCAAAACCGTCCTTTTTCAATTTTCAAGGTCAAATTTCTCGAAACCTAGGGTGATGGAACAATTCTGATTACAAATTCGCATTCAGCATCAAAAAACCTATAAAAATCACTCTATGCGATCCCAGAAATAATAAAAAAGTGAAATTCTGTTGCACTGTGCTATCATTCACCATCGAGCATGTCCCGGGAAAGGACAATGAACTACCTGACATCCTCTCCAGAAACCCGGACTCAGAAGAAACATCCCCGGGCGAACCCGAACTGGAAAGGCTGTTTTCGCCTACACGCTTCGCTCACAGCGAGAACCAAGAACCCGCCATTCCGGTTTTGAGCGCCCTGTATGCCACCCCGTTGGCCGAGGAACGGGTATTATTGTTTATTTACAACTTTTATCTAAGTGAGGTAAAGAGTTGCGATTTTTTCTCAATTTTGCAACTTTTCAGGCCGAATGTAACCAGTCACTATCAACTAACTAAGAATATTAATTTTACCAACTGTTTAAACAAATTACTATTGTTGAACTTCCACTTTTTATCAAAATAATCTACAGAGTTGCAACT